AAGACGGCTGATCTAAAAAAGCAGGAAGAGAGCATCTGAGGAGCAGCAGCCCCAGCGCATTTTGAAAAAACATTTGTTACATTTCAGAGTGCGGCAGCCTGTTTCTCCTCTGAAGTTGGCTCCAGCCCTAGCAGCCGCATTGGATCCCACAGCCTATTGCGAGACTCCGGTATACAATCCGGATCTCTGCCCCAACATGATCGCGGCCCAGGCCAAGCTGGTGTATCATCTGAATAAATACTACAACGAGAAATGCCAAGCCAGGAAAGCTGCCATCGCCAAAACGATCCGAGAAGTCTGCAAAGTGGTGTCGGACGTGCTGAAGGAGGTGGAGGTGCAGGAGCCTCGCTTCATCAGTTCCTTGAACGAGATGGACAATCGCTACGAGGGGTTGGAAGTCATCTCCCCCACGGAGTTTGAAGTCGTGCTGTATCTGAACCAAATGGGGGTTTTCAACTTCGTGGACGACGGCTCCTTGCCGGGCTGCGCTGTGTTAAAGTTAAGCGACGGGCGCAAGAGGAGTATGTCCCTCTGGGTGGAGTTCATCACGGCGTCTGGCTACCTCTCCGCTCGCAAAATCCGGTCCAGATTTCAGACTCTGGTGGCTCAAGCCGTGGATAAGTGCAGTTACAGAGACGTGGTAAAGATGGTGGCGGACACCAGCGAAGTGAAGCTGAGAATCAGGGATAGGTACGTCGTGCAGATCACCCCGGCGTTCAAATGCACGGGGATCTGGCCGCGGAGCGCTGCCCACTGGCCGCTTCCCCACATCCCCTGGCCGGGACCCAACAGGGTGGCGGAGGTCAAGGCGGAAGGCTTCAACCTCTTGTCCAAGGAGTGCCACTCTCTGGCCGGCAAGCAGAGCTCGGCCGAGAGCGATGCCTGGGTGCTGCAGTTCGCGGAAGCCGAGAACAGACTGCAGATGGGCGGCTGCAGGAAGAAATGCCTCTCTATCCTCAAAACCTTACGGGACCGTCACCTGGAGCTGCCGGGCCAGCCCCTGAATAATTATCACATGAAGACTCTGGTTTCATACGAATGCGAAAAGCATCCCCGGGAATCGGACTGGGACGAGTCGTGCCTGGGGGACCGGCTCAACGGGATTTTACTGCAGCTCATCTCCTGCCTCCAGTGCAGGAGGTGCCCGCATTACTTCTTGCCCAACTTAGACCTTTTTCAGGGCAAACCTCACTCGGCCCTGGAAAATGCGGCCAAACAAACGTGGCGACTGGCTAGGGAAATACTTACCAACCCGAAAAGTTTGGAGAAACTTTAGAGGGTAACTATAAAACCGGCCTGACCGATACATCTGCTTGTTTCCCGATGAAGTTTAAGCTGCCTGTTCGAAAAGTCAAATATTTCCACCTGACAATGCAAATAATATTCTCTTTTAAAAAGGAATATAGCTTAGTCTCTCCACAAAGAAAAGCAAATAAGAACAGCAAGTATCGTTCCCCTTATCTTCGTCAGAGTTTTGCAGTTCCCCGTGAAAAAAAAAAAAAAAAGGGGGGGAAAGAAAAAAAAGAGAGAAAGTATGTTACCCAGAAAGCAAAATTGGCCGTAATTTAACATGATTGTGACCATTCTGCCTAGAAACGGTACCAACGGATTATAACAAAACCCCGGTATTTTTATGTAAAACCCTCTGTGCGTAAAAGCTATTTGGATATGCCACCTGAACAAACCCTAATGTACCTTTCAATTTGTATCAAATATTGTGATCTCACATTGTCTTTGAAATTGTGGATGTTGGTGTTTTGTGATTTGGTGAACAGAAGTTAAATTGCCATTTTGGATACTTCAAGGACATTTTCTGCTAAAGAGAAGATACCATTTAAAAAGGTAGATTTTATCATGGTACTTTTGTTAATTGTCTTTTGAAGTGTCTGAACTTACCAAGTTTACATTTTTCGTTTCATATATATTGCTTGTTCTATTTCTAACATTCCATAAATATACTTGAAATGTTATTTAAATATATTCAAAAGAAATTTGGATTCTGCTTATATAATAACGCTTGAATATTGGAATTATATATTTGAAAATGCACTTGAAATACACTGGATAATTACATTTTGTGATTTAGATTTTAATTTCTGTTGCTGATTTATTTAATTACAAGCTAATAAATGAAGTAAAACGCATATGGGTAAGCGTTTCAATACCAGATCAAGTTTTCTACTTGAAAAACCAGAGGCAGCTATGTTTTCCGAATGCTGCCTTTCTGTTGGTAGTTGCTTGAATCCTGTAAAGCAGAAAACTTAAGGGCAGCCGCCTGATTTTGCATTTTGAATAGTTTTGTAGAACAGGGAAATATTGGTGGTACAAACACATTAGAATTTAGCTCCAGATGACCGTCAGCAACTGTCAGACACCGACGTAGTTTTTAAAGCAGTAACACTTTTTCAGCCGTCAGGAAATAAATTTATTTTCGAAAGGTTTACTGTACGGCGCTGATGTGTTTCTGCTTGGTTTTGAACAAAGCTGAGAAAACACAACATAACCCTGAAGCAGTCAGTGTACTGAGTGTACAGAAGCGAGCCTGATAAAACTAGGATTTTGGCGCAAGCAGTACTAAAGAAGAAAATAAAATTTATAGGTGAAAGGTTCGAGCCGGCACCATAAAATGAACAACAATATTACTTCTGACCTACAATTCCGTTATGAATGTGGTAAGATCGCCGTTGCACTCCCAGAAATCAAGCCCCTGCACTCCCAGGGCATTCCGAGGGAATAAGATGTGCGTGCCTACAGAACTGCAAGGGATCCAGAACTGCCCGTTCTGCAACGCCCGGTCATGCTCAGTATGTGTTTCTTTAAAGCGGCTTTAAGAGCAAAACGCAAAATAACAACGCGGATTTTGTTTAGTACCCTAACAGTCAACAAGTGCTGAAAGAAGCCGATCGCCTGTGTAACACCCACTAGCAAGTATTTCCAGTAAGTGCACTTTAACGAAACCGTTATACCCAGCGATTGTGACAGAATCTCTCTCTTTTTTTATTTTTTCCCCAGCACTGTGAAGAAAGTTCCGAGTTTGAGAAATTATTCGTCAGAGAGAAATCGCCTTATTACAAACATACTCAGACGAGGTCGCTAGCATTTTTCTTGGACATTATTTATGATATAGCTGCAGAAAAAAACCCCACACGAGGTCTTTGTAAAAGTATCTCCCCTGTTTTCTCTCTTCTAACATTTTCCAGCGCAATAACAAAGAAATAAAGCAACAGTGATAAGAATAAAAAGAGATGCAGGAGAGAGGAGCGCCCTGTAAACATGTCCCTTTCGTATGTCCCCTCCTCCCCCCGTGGCAGCCCCCCGCTCCGTTCCCGCGGGGAGGAAGCCACGCAAAGATTTCTGCTCAAGTCACGCACCCCCGCGCTGTTGCGGCTGGACCGGAGGTTTTTGCGAAGGGGGGTGGGGGGGGGGCGGCGCTGAGGAATTGGTAGTAGTAAATGACTTCAGAAAAAAACAGAGCTTTCCCGGGAATCGAGTCATGGGTACATGCCTATTTCCCCTTTCTGTGTTTTGGTGTTTTGTTTTGTGTTTTGTTTGGTTTTTTTTCCCCCGGAAAATAAGTATTAACCTGCATTTCAGCAGCTTTTAGTCAAATGCACCGTATTTTCTTACATGGAAACTAACGTTCTTGAAATAACGGGATTCTCCTATATCCTTG